AATAAATAAATCGGATCATTGATATATAAATTTATGTTTGTGCGAGGAACATCACAAAATTGGAATAAAATTTTTAACAGAGCTCCTTGTTAAAACTGATCGGTTGTTTTTAAATTAAATCTTAAATATGGACGAAGAGGAAGAAACCAACCCTTTTTTATATTTCTAGCAAGCTGTAAAGAGCAGAAATGATTTCTTCTCAAATATGAAATCGTTCTTCGGGTATGATGCAGCGGTTCATAATCGGCGGTCTTTCGATAATGATCACGTTTCAGCCGGCAGCAGCTTTCGGGGCCTTATTAGGATACCCGCGGATCCATAATTCGTCTCGTACCTGGAGCGGAAAAGAGCGCACCCCGCGTGCCGATTATGATTAAAGACTGCAAAGGGCGGGCGGGGGTGTGCGTGGTTACGACCGAGAAAACGTTTAGTGAAAAGAAATGCACCTGCCTATGCGTCGAAAATTATGAATTTTGGTCCGTGCTCTATCGTAATTAGATCTCTCTTAACACCTCAACCGCTAGGCCAATATTTCATATTTTCCTCGCCGCGCGCTTATATATAATTTATTAAAAGCAGTTCTTCTGAATAGAGAGACCCTTTGATAGACGCTGCGTGGATAATCATTTCAAGGTGCTCGTTACGTCTTGTTGTTATTTAATAAACAATCGTTCCGAGAAGACCTGAGAGCTCTTAGTTGACCCTTGATCAAAAGTTTTGCCTCCATCCTTTTTTCACTCTCTCTGTTTGGTTTTCAATTAACGGCAGGGCAAATTGATTGTTTGGGCTTGTCTTGATTGCGCTTGGAAAGGTCAGGTGTTTATTGATTTAAATTAAAACGAGAAAATGTTGCACTCGTCAAGTGGGTGGAAACAAAAAGAATAATTATTTTCTAATAATCTTCACAGCTGCTCTTTAAAATTAAATTATTTTTAAAGCTAAAAAAAAAAACTTTAATAACATCTTATAACTTTCTACTCATATAATTTCTAAAAAATATAATTCTTTTTCATAATTTGCCACTGAAACTAAAATATTTGTAAAAATGGATATAATTTAGATTTTATAATTAATTAACACTTACGTGGGGTCAATCGATTCTGCATTAGGTGAGGGAAACCTCTCATTCAGGTTGGATTATTCACATGTCTTTTCAATTTAATGCAGTTATTTTATTTTCGTAAATTTTTCTTACAATCTTCTTCAAGTTAAAAAAAAAATCAAATTTAATTATTTATTCAAAATCCATAATATGCATATTTGTCGATACTTTAATTTTTCTTTAAATATTTTAATGAAATTTTATTTTAAGTACCTCTATCCTCTATACTATATAAAACAAAATAAAAAACTTTCCTTGTATTGCTCGGAGCAAGATGACCGGATGGAAAATGTGATTGATTAGAATAAGGCATTACCTGCCATGAACATCATTTAACAAAACATTCATTAGCCGATTGAAAAGCGCTCGTTTGGGGGTCTCTGTGGCTCGTTTTTGGTTCGCGTTCACGGTATTAAGCGCCTGTTAACATACTTAATTACAAACCGGCGTGTTTGATTATCTCATCGCGCGTTCCACCTGCCCAAACACAGAACTTCAGAACAGTCGGTCGCGGGGCAGGTGGACCCATAGACGACCAGATTGACGCACGCACAATGGGTGGGTGCTCTTGCGCCGCACTTGCAGGTCATCTCTCTCTTGGAAAGAGCAAACAAAAGATGCACGCGGCAGCAGGTGATATACCATCGAATTGATGGATCTGCGTGAATCATCATCGGCTGCTTTTCTATTTAGGCGCGTCTGCTGCAACGAGGAGCACCGGTGCTACAAAAAGTTTGTTTTGGTGTTCCTTCTCCCAGTGCATCTGTCTTCATAAAGGATTCTTGCTTCCTTTGAAACCAAGCCCGGGCATTTAAGTTTTAAAAAGCAAAGAAAAAAACCTTTAAATTTAACCTGGTGATGAGATAAAATTATTATATAATTTTTTTTAATGAATATTCCAAGATATTAAAATGCTTTTTTCAAATTTTTGTTAACCTTCGAAGCCCCGACTGTGTATAATTATTTTGTCGCATGTCTTCTGAATCCGCGATTAAGGGGATGATGCTTGAATTGGAATTTGGCTTTTCCATTGACAATATTAAAACCTGTTTAAAACAGCATTGGCAAAACTCACTTATTTACTCACTATATAATAAATTTTTTATAACTTTGTTTACTACTAATGCAAATCAATCAAACTTTAAATACCTTCAAATAATGTTTATATGTTTAATTAAACACTTAGATGATGCAATTTTAAATTATGCTTCATGCCAATATTTATTAATTTCTAGACTTCAAGCTATATGAAACCTTACAATTTGCTAGTTAAAAGTCAGGAAAATTCCATAATTCACGAAAATTAAGAAAAAAGGTAGACATTGCCAGGTGAAAATCCCTCGTTGAAATCACCTTTCCTGTTTATTGTTTGTGAAAATTTCACTCCCCAGCACGTGCAACATCCTGAGCTGTGTGCCCTAATTTATCAATTTCGGCAATCAGGTCGGAAAACGCTCCTATCCAGATCGCACCTTCAACGCGCAAACAAAAGACCCAACCATGCGTCATGCCACCCACGCGACTTTCGGCGCGCGAAAACGCGTCTTCTTTACTTAACCTTCCCTTTTATCTTTATTTGTTATATACCTGGTGACAAAAAAATCAATTTGCTGCGTCTCACACTACTTCCGACGCGGCGCTGAACAAAAACATCCCCCGCCGCAGGAAAGAGAGCGAGAGGAAGCGTGACCTGTTTTGGAGCCGCAGCATCCCCGAAAGAAAGAAACACATGCACGCGCAGGTAGGGTGGTTTTCCGTCGCATCCGCTCGGTGGCCGTCGAACGATGAGAAACAGCACCACCCGCGTGTTCTGCGGTTTTGAAGCCGGCTGGAGCGGACGGGCGCCTCTAAACTTGGGCCGTGATAAATGAGAGATGCACCAGACGCGCTTTTGCACCCCCGCAGGTGCTGCAGCCCCCACGTGGCAACACGACCGACTCTCTTGGAAGTATAAACTTTGCAGAGTCTTTAATACTAAAATTTTGAGCTGCACTTGTGTGTTGGAAAGCAGAAATTTAGTTTACTTATAGAAAAAAAGTAAATGCTGATAAAAATGTATTCTTTTTGAATTATTTATAAATCTAATATCAGCATTAAAATTGCACAAAAAATTTAAATTATTACTTTTTCACTTTTTTCAGTGATTGAAATTGAAGCGAAAACTTTTCAATGGCTTGCTGACGGATTCCATCATGCCAGTAAAAATGTTTGAATAAAAAAAAATAAAAATAAAAGAGAATTAAGTAAGAACTAAGAACTAGATCAATTTGTGATAAGAACAAAAACTTTATCAACCAAGGCACACTGTGGTGGATGGTGTCTTTTGATCTTGGAAGTTTAAGCAAAGTACTTGCTAGTGGTGGTGCCGTTTTTTCCAACAATCCCTTTTTTTAAATTAATTGTTTTCACCAATTGTATGAAAACAATGTATTGTAACAATTTGGACAAATAAACAACAACAATAATTAATATATAACAAGATGTATAATAAGGGAAAAATCTTTTGATATCACCAGTTTATTATTCTTCTTAAACATATTAAAACAAATGTTGCCTTCACCTTCAGGATGTTTTTGTTTCTAAAATGGAGAATAGAGAATAGATTGTTGATAATCATAAATAATCAGACTTTTTATTAGCGAAAACTCAAATTTAAAATAGTGTGCACAAGAGTTTCTCATTTTAATGGCAAGGAAACAAGTAAACCAGCCCCTCTCCATGACAGAGAGGTTGGGGAGGGAGATTACCCCACGCGATTGACCAGTGCACCGCTCTGGTCAAAAGTGCACACCTCAAATTTATAATGGAAAATGTACTATTTTATATGACAATATAGAAATTGATGGGCACTATTTACGTGTTGAATTAATTTTAATAATTTTTATTTCCCCCTGAATAAAGTGAATGCAAAAAAATTTTCACCTCGAATATGGAAGTTTAAGTTTTTATTTAAATTCAATTCTCAATAAAATGCGCCAGAGTCTTAATTCATTTCTGAACTCAAAATTAAACATTGAGGCTTTTTCACCTCTCTAAGTTTACACCTAGTTTTCCTTTAGCGAACTATGAGCGGTCGCGGGAAGTGCCCTCGATGCCACTGCATGCGACATCTCTTATTCGAATCAGGCATGAGTGAAGTGAAAATTTAATGCCTGGAATTTATGAAATTTTTAGAGCTGACAAAAACATTTTTGATTACATGCTAAACTGGATGGTAAAGTTAATTCACGCAAAAATATTACTCTGCAAAAAACAAGAAACTTATGTGTGTTATATTAGAATAGATAAGATTTTTAATTTTTAATTAATTTATACAATATAATTTAGCAAAATTTTTGCTAGTGGAGATGCCTTTTTGTCCAACAATCTCTTTTTCGTAAATAATTGTTTTTCAAAAATTGAATGTAATATTTTTTTAAATTATTAAAATTTATTGTCAAATAACTGGTTTTATATTATTTATTTTTTTAAATTCGTTTTTGAATATATTTCTCGATTGATAGACCCTTTTATAATTCTTTTTTTTTTAGTTTAAAAAGCCATTTGTGAAAACGTTAGTCAAATCTAGCAAAATTTATTTTAAAAATAAATTTCAAAGGCCCTTATTTTAAAATAAAAATATTTTGCTAGATTTGTTGGAGAAAACTCATCAGTCATCTGATATGCGATACAGCCATGTGAAGATTATTGTAACTCGTTGACGTAAGCGCTAGTTAGCCTTTCCACGTCATATCATCGTCAACTCATTTTTCATTTTATTTTTATACTTCCCACGTGTTTCAACAATGCAAACAGTATAAAAACAGTTGATCGATGAAATTTCCCATACCTATGGGGAAAGCCAAACTACAAGTGTTACAAATCAATACTTTTAATAGTCGTCACTTGGTCATTTGCGTTCATCATGAAGCACAGAGTAGTGACTTCAATTTTCATCTTGGCCATTTTTCTTAACGGCGTAAGTACATTTTCTATCTCCATGGTTCCGTTAGCAAAGAATATTAATAATTCCAAAACCAAATTTAAGGTAGCGCCAGCAGAGAGCAAAAAGATTGGTTAATAATTTTTGACCGGTATTTTTTGCGTGAGTTAATATTTTACATTTTCAAGGAAACTCAAGAAAGTCGCCACGGATAATTATTGCAAAGTGTTGTGGAAAAAATTCGTGTTTTGATGTTTCAGAAAAAGGAACGTCTAATTCAACTAAGGTAAAACTGCCAATAGTGCCAATCGCATAGCTTCAGCGTCATTCATATTTTTATATTTTCCATTAAAGGCATGAATAAAATTTTTTTGTAAAATTATATTTTTAAGAAAAATAATTATTGATAATAAGACAATTAAAACAACTGTAATTAAAATAAATATAGCAGCGCTCAACGTTCCAAATCACAACCTTAACGAGTGTGGAAACGAATCCTGAAAGTATGCATCGTTTTATATTTTATTATCATTAATGTAGACTACATTATGTAGCTCTGAATGATGTGATTACTATTTTTTTTTTTAATTTAACCCCATAAATTGGAAAAAAATAAGGCACAACCACTGCAGGCTTGGAGCAGGATACGACCGAGATCACAACGGAACCAGCTAGTGAGAACTTATAAGAAAATTGTATAAAATATTTTTAAAAATTAATTAATATTACAGCAATTGAAAGCATTTCAACAACTACGGTAGTAATCTGGATTAAAAAGAACTAAATTAATATTAAAATTGAATACACACATAATTTATATCCTTGATAATTTTGCAGATACGTCCGAATCTCTGCCCAAAAGATTGCAAAGCAAATGTAAAATGTTTCATAATTTTCTAAAAAAAAACTATCCCTCTAAATATTAGAGTTCTATGTTTGAGTCCGACGGGACGCTCAAAGGTTTTTAAAACTTTGTTTATTTTTGAATTCCACTATTTAATTTAATATAGATTCATCATCTTATGGATTTTGGGAAACTGCGTGCGGCTCACTGATCCTTTTTGGAAGCAAAATAGTTTGAAATTTATTTTCCTGAATCAATAATTATTTCACTTTTTTTAAAGGTCAATTGGGAAGAAAACGTAAAGATTTGCTGCCAGCTTGGCATGACTCCACTAAAAATAAACACATCAGCCAAGCAGTCATGCTTAAATTCTATTGTCAATGGTGCTTTATTTTTTTCCATTTTAATAAAATATGCATTATAAAAACCAAAAGTTTCAACCTGGCGGTACAATTACAATTACTGGACGTACGGACTCAAGTTCAACGATAGCATCAAAGAAGCGTTTTGGTGGTGCGATCCAATAAGTGCGACAGAAGTTTCAAACGGGACAGTTGAATGGAAAGCGGGACAACCCGACAACATGGGTGGAAATGAAAGTTGTCTGCACCTTCAGGTTGTGCATAAAGATTCAAAAATGGTCGTGACCGACCGAAATTGTGCAGATGATTACATGCTAGCGTGTGAGGTACAAAATAATTCATACTACTTTATCTATTATTTACATTTAATTTGCGGTCCAGAGTTTTGTGACAACCCCTGCTCCCAAATGCACATCTGGCCGATGTCCCGACATTTCTTGCGTTCGAATCGTAATTTTATAACTTTTAGTTGTAATTAAATTTTTTTCTGTTGTTTTCTTAATGCAAAGGAGAAACTTTTCCTTGACAAAACGAAAACCAGCAACCCAAATCCACCTTTGCTAGGTGATTAAAAAAAATAATAAGCATAAAAATAGTATTGAATAATAATTATTTTCAATCACAGATCCTTTTTCCCACGGCTCTTGGCAAAGTGTGAACGGTCGAGCGTATTTTTTCAGCAAAGATAAAGCAAATGTACTTATTATTTAATATTTTCTTAAAATGCGAATTATATTCCACTCATTGTCAGTGGAACGAAGCGTACAAAACTTGCTGCTCTTTGGGATTGAAGTTTTTGAGTGTTGAGCAAAAAAATGAAATGGACACTCTGTTGAAAGCAATGAATAGTATTTTTGTCTTAAATCGTTATAAATACACATTTTATTATTTTTAAAATTAGCAAATCCAAATGTAGAAGAAATTACGTATTGGACTTCCGGAAGTGACGCGGACTGCTCTGGAAAACACGCTTGGTGTGCCGTTGGCAAAATGTTTAGGGATGTGATCTGGGACTCTGGAGAACCGGCAAATTCACTCGACAAAAGTTGTGTTACCATCTCGCTTTCAAAATCGAACGCAAAATTAGGGACTGAGGGTTGCAAGAAAAATTTTAATTTTATTTGTGAAGTGACATATTAAATTATTTTCAAAATAAAATTTAAATATTAAATCCATTTTAGGTCAGAGATACGTCCAACTCAACAGATAATGGGAGGGCCATAATGAACGAGTGCGCGCAAAAGAACCAAGATGTCAACGGTTTTGTGATTCATTTAAAATCTCGAAGTGAAATTAATTAATCGCTTTCTCAGTTAGTGACATCGACTTGAGAACAAACTTCGCAAGCCTGGACAGGACAGCTATGGTTATTATTTTTACAAATTTAACTTTGAAATTTTTATCTGGTTTAGAATTTTAGAAATTTTCCATATAATTAAAACTTGATATATCTCATTCCTTTAACTAGTGCTACTTGAAATGTGTGGCAGAGGAAGCTGGTTTTCTTGTAAAGCGTAAACTTTCCTTAATAAGACCTGCATTAAAAATTCATTTATAACCAGAATTCGTATGGAGTAAAAGTTGATACAAATACGATTGCCAAGTTGGAAATTGCCGCTGGAAATGACACGTCAAAGTTACAAAACGCCTATGAAATGGTTGAAGAGTGCGAAAACAAAAGTATAAATTTAACTTCCTGAGTTTAAAAAATTTAAAAAAGAAAATGGCAACCTCATTAAACGTTTTTCTTTGAAAAGAGGGCGCAGATGACTGCGAGACGGCAATTTTGATTTACGAATGCGGCAAAAGTAAAGCGCCTGAGTTAGTTAATGATGTTTTAAACATGGCTGAATTGGCACAAGGAGTAGAAAATATTTTTAATTTTTCGAAACAAATTTCAAATTTTATTTGAATTGCCAGGAAGAGGCTCCTTTGCCTAGAAGTGTTGCAAAATGTTTCACAGACTACCCGTGCAGGACAAATGTATTTAGCTTTTGAAAATATATGTCAGGTTAATTTTATTTTTTAATTTACCAATTTTCTCCTCACAGACTAGTATGCGGAATGCTTTTCTTAACGACATGAGTAAGTTAATCTGAGTTTTTGTGATTATTCAGCGCACAATATTTGCAAATTTTCTGTCTAAATTATTACAGCTATTGATGGAGGGAAAAGATACACTGCCTGTGGTCGCCTTTACGTGGCTTCAAATGCAAATCCTTTTACCATTTTGCTGTTCTTTTTAATTATATTTTCCTGTGTTAAGGTCAAGTACAACTTCGCTGAAGCCGCATCTTATTGCTGTAAACTTGGTCTTCAAATTACCTCATTTGAAACTTACTCGGAATATAACTGTGTTAATGCTATGCTTAATGGTGGATGCTTGATTATTTTTACTGGTGATTAATAATTTTTTTATTTTATTTTAAAGAAATTGCTCCTATACAAATCTGGACGTCCGGGAGCCAATGGATGGTCAACACTTATTTTTGGTGCCCTTCCGGAGTCAAATTTTTTCCTGAGGCTCAATTTGAACAAACTCAAAACGCCACAATGCAGACTGCGTTTTTGGCCACAGTCACTTACACAAAAACAATGTCAGGAAGTATTTCGAACATTTTCAACCAGCAGAATTTGTCTTTCGTCAGCAAGGTTTTGTGCGAGGGCGAAGGGACCACTTCACCCAATGAAGTGGCTCAAGATAATGGTTATGGTGCAGAAGACGATTGAAAATGAAATTACATATTTTTTCATATTTTTAATCAGAATTCAAAACTTCAATCAATAAAATTGAATGAATAATTTGTTAAAATTCATATTTTATTCTTTCATTTATTATTGTATGTTGATAAGATGTATAGTTTTTGTGGTTTTTGTTAAAAAATTTCAAAGAGAAAGAATTAGTGCTCTTTCAAAAGCACACATTAAATTTTAATTTAAATTACGATAAGTATTATCATGTATATCACCAGTCAAATAAATTTATAGTTGAGATCAATTGAGATTCTACGCATCCTCTTCAAATATATTGAATTTTAATACGGTTCAAAAACCATCAAATTTAATAGCTTCCACTTCCACATCAGGGACATTAATTCAAACCAACGACATTATTTGTAATTTAAGATCAAGCGCGGCTGAGAATTCAACAACAACAAGTAACTTTTTACGAATTTTTTATAAGATTTTCAAACTTGTAATACAGGTGACAATTTCCAGCTCAGGTTGCTCAAGCGCTTACAGTGAATTATATTGTTTTAAATTATTTGACCACATCTACTGCAAATTACAATGTTTCTGCGACTAGTGGTGTGGTTTTTTAACAATAATTTAAGAAAATCAAATTTCACGAACAACAAAGTACTAACTAATAATTAAATTCAATTATACATTTTTTAAATAATAATAAATAATGTATGCGCATGAGTATCGAAAATAGCATAAAATCACTGACAACCCAATCACGGCAACCGGGAATCTGAAGAGTTATTCAAATTACTCATTAAAGGGCCTCTGAAGTGATTTTTTTTATGGTTTTAAGCGAACAACACATAGCATGTGCAGACGGGTGACTGAAAATTCGGCGCTCGTATCTGCTCAATCAGCGATTTAAAAATCGGCTTTGGACTTTCTTTGCGCTTTGAGGGGCCGCAAGTATGCCGGCGCCGGCGGGCCGATGCGACACGGCAAACCAAGTAAATGAGCCCGGCATGCATTTAATTAAATTAGATTCGCGAGTTTCCCTACCTTGGGGACACGCTGATAGTCCCTGGTCCGCTTGGGGTCCTCGGCAGGTCGGCGAAATCCTCCTTCGGCTCAAATTCGGCGAGATTCTGGCCGCCGACCGCGCGGAGGCACTGAGAGGGCCGAGAGGGGACTTTGAATCATTGCATTGCACAATGCACACATCACTCATTACTCTCCCTCCATCGGCTCCATCCTCTGGCGGTGCTACTGCTGCTTGGAGATTGAAGACCAGAGCGAACAAGTCAGGACAGGGATGAGGCAGAAATATAAAAAGGACGTCGCGCAAAATAAAAATATCATCGTAATGCGTAAAATAATCATAATATTATAAGCGTTGATAGGTGATTAAAAGCATTTTGTGATATTATTTTTAATGAATATTTCATATAATTATAAGGAAATAAGAAACAAAACTTGCATAAAAAAGTATAGCCCTAATTAAAATATCTTTCTTTTTTTCATAATGGCAATACCGTCAGAATTTTCTTTATTTACCTTTGAAGAACTCCAATTCAAAATTTAATATTTTATAGATGAAATAATATTTTTTTGAGAATTTTTCAACATTTGGTTGGAAATTAACTCTTATACAAATTTTTGTAAAAAAAAAAAATAAATAAATAAAAAAACAAGCCTTTGAATATGAGAGAATGTTTTCTGAAGTGCCAATAGACTAAAAAAACATTTTTTGGAGCTGTAGTTGAATTAAATTTTTTTTTAATTTACTACCTTATTTTTTTGGCAAATATTCAGTTGAGGAGTACAAATTAAATTTCCAATCAAAGTATAACTATGGCGGTGCTGGAATTGGCCTTTGACGACGATATTGACAAATTGCAAAGTAGCTTGAGTGCGGCAGAAAGCTGCGGTACACTGCTTAATTATAAATTTGCATGCTTCATTTTTAGAATATTATGATAATTGATGAGCAGGCAGAATGGATGAATGCGACACGGCAGCTCTGATTTATGAGTATGGGAAGTTGTTAGTGCCTGACATCGTGAATTTTGTCGGGCACGCGTTACGGTAATTTGAATGAAATTTATATTTTCATACTGGATTTGGAGCAAAACTTCACTATTTAATTAAGGAAGAAGCTCCATTGCAAAGGAGAATGTCTGCATGCGATATAAATTACTCGTGCATTATTGATGTAATTATCCAATAACAAAAGAATCTTAAATATTAAAAAGCTTAAAGTTGGAAATAATCGCTTTCATTCAATTAAATGGATTAATTGATCATCAAAATCTATAAATTTTTGCCATTATTCATCTGGCACAATATATAAACGAGTGGGCTGCTCGTATCGCAGTATCACGGCATAAGTCAATAAAAAATAATGTTATACTAAAATATAAACAGATCCCCCTCCCATGTATGTTATTTCCGTTGAATTATGATCTTCGAAAAAACCAAATGTATTATACTTCATTATATGAAATTCCCCAAATATTAGTTCCGGGAAAACCTCCGAATCCAAACCAGATATGAAAATGACCGAAATCCTCATTAAATATCTGCAACATGAACCGTCAAGTTGCAGCAAAAATGTGCATATTGGCCATTTTCCTTAGCTGTGTAAGTAAATCTCAATTTGAAAGTAATTACAATAATTATGCGTGTAAAATAATTGTTCATTTTAGCTGGTCCTAACAGAATGCAAAAAAAGTAATATTTTTTAATACATTTTTCAGAAGTTAAATTTTAATTTTAAATTTTTGTAGAGAAAGGTAGAAACCATCCTCGGAAAATTGTTGCATTGTGTTGTGGGAGATATTCGTGCACAAACTTCGAAGCAACTGAAATAATAACAAAAGCTACCTACAATTCCTCCAAAGTAAATGTTTGTCATTCAGTTTTCATTTTCCAGTTTTCTCTTGCAAATTAAATTTAAATTATTAACTTTTTAAACATCTTTCAGGTATGGTCAACGTTAAAAATGACAACATTTTCAACAGAAATGACAGATACAAGGATTTTAGAACAAGGTCTAAAAATTCTCATAAGGAAAAAAATGAAGCGTATTCATTTTTATTAATTATTTCATTCAATTTTAGAGACCGTTGAAGAAACAAGTGACACCACAGTTACTCAAGCTATGGAGGAGCCTACAAGCATGAGGGAAACAGAAACTACTAGTACATGTACATCAAATAATTAAATTTAGACCATAAAATTTTTACAAATTAAAAAAGTGACTGAGAGCACAATTACTTCTACAACCACCGCCACGTCCACCACTACAGTAACGTTATTATTTTTTTAAATAATAAATATTTCAAATTTTCTTAACCACTATTTGAAATAACACATATTATTACATAACACATAATATTCTGAATTATATTTACAGACAAGTTTAAACGCTTGCCCAAAAGATTGCACAAAAGACGTAAGATTTTGTTTCACTAATAGTTACTGTGTGTACTACCAATATGCGATTTCATTACACTATGGCCTCTAGTTGTTGGTCAAACATTACAACTCTTTGAAATTGAAATAATACATTCAGTTATATAAAATTAAATATGATTTATTTTAAAAAATGATAATTTTCATCAAATTCTGGGTCAACTGAAGTTAATTATTTTTATCGTAGAGCCCACGGTGAAATGAAAACCGTCCTCTAATTTTTTTTCACGTTTTCAGGGCTCACTGTTTGAGTCCGACGGAACACTGAAAAGTTTTATATTGTGCTCTTTTATGCATACATTTTTTTTTTCAATTTAATTATCAGATTCATCATCTTATGGATTTTGGGAGACTTCATGCGATACGCTGATCCTTTTTGGAAGCAAAATAGTTTGAATTTTATATTTTGTGAATCAATAATTATTTCGTTTTTTTTTAAGGTCAATTGGGAAGAAAATGTAAAAATTTGTTGCCAGCTTGGCATGACTCCTCTAAAAATTAGCACATCGGCCAAGCAATCATGCTTAAATTCTATTGTCAATGGTATTAATTTTTTTTCCAAATAATTAAACTTTCATAATAAAAACCAAAAGTTTCAACCTGGCGTTACAATTACAATTACTGGACGTACGGACTCAAGTTCAATGACAGCGATAAAGAAGCATTTTGGTGGTGCGATCCAATAAGTGCGACAGAAGTTTCAAACGGGACAATTGAATGGCAAGCGGGACAACCCGACAATGTGGGTGGAAGCGAAAATTGTCTGCACCTTCAGGTTGTGCATACAGATTTGAAGATGGTAGTGACAAATCGAAACTGCGCAGACAAGTACATGCTAGCGTGTGAGGTACACAATTATTTTTTTTATATTCGACTAGTTTAAATCTGAATTTAATATACCTAAACAAACATATTTAAATTTAATTTAGAGTATGTCAACTACACCTGCTCCCAAATGCACAGTTGGCAAATGTCCAGATATTACTTGTGTCCGAAACGTAATATTTTATTTTGATATTTATTCCAACCAATAAGTTTGTTTCTTTTTTCTAAATGAAAAGGAGGAACTTTTCTACAACAAAACTATAACGAACAACCCAAACTCACCTTTGCTAGGTTTATTTATTTTTATTTTATTTATTCGAGGTAAAAATATATACATGTAATTTAAAACTCCAGATCCTTCTGCTTATGGCACGTGGCAAAGCACAAACGGTAGAATGTATCTTTTCAGCAAAAATAAAGCAACTGTATAATTTACTATAACTTATTTTCCTGGTGTGAGTAAATTACTAAATTTTCTTCAGTGGAATGAGGCGTACAATATTTGCTGCTCCTTGAATTTGAAATTTTTGAGCGTGGAACAGAAAAATGAGATGGATACTCTTGTAAAATCCGTGAATAGTATTAAATTTTTTGATCTATTATCGCTATATTATCTATTTTTTACTTTCAACATTAAAAAAGCAAACGGAAACATATCTCAAAGTACGTATTGGACTTCCGGAACTGACGCGGACTGCTCTGGAAAACATGCATGGTGTGCCGTGAGTAAAAGTTTTAGAGACGTGATTTGGGATTCTGGAGAACCGGGGAATTCACACGACAAAAGTTGCGTTACCCTCTCGCTTTCAAAATCGAACGCCAAATTGGGAACTGAGGATTGCAAGAAAAATCTTAATTTCATTTGCGAAGTGAAAAATCAATATGTGCGCATTTTATTTAAGACTAGAATTGAACTTTAGGTCAGGGACACGTCAAACTCAACAACTAGCGGAATGGCTATAACGAACGAGTGCGCTCACAAGTTCCAGATTCTGGATACTAGTGTTGTGAATCATAATCAAAAACTTGCGGAGTTTAATTTTCCCTTAACTTTCAAGATATCACCAACAATATCACCATGAATATGAGCTTTGCAAGCCTCGACACAAAAACCAAAGTAGGCTTTATATTGCTTTTGTTTCAATGCGTCTTTTTTAGTTATGCAACTTGCACGACACTCATGTTCGGCAGCATGTCTAATTTTATATTATTTTAATTTTAGTGCTACTTGAAGTGTGTGGCCGAAGAGGCTGGATTTATTGTAATATTTTAATATTTAAAGAATATTATATATGAAAATTTAATTATCAGAATGTAAATGGAGTAAAAGTGGATATTAACACAATAGCAAAGCTGGAAATTGCCTCTGCAAATGACAAGTCGAAGTTGCAAAACAGCTTTGTGGCGGCCGACGACTGCGGCAAGAAGCGTAAGATTAATTTTCTAGTTTTTTATTTTTTACATATTTCTTCTTAAGGTGGGGTGGATGAATGTGATACGGCAATTTTGATTTACGAATGCGGCAAAAGCAAAGTACCCGAAGTGGTTAATGATGTTGTAGTGGGAGCTAGAATGGAAAATAAGGTAGCACTTTGAATTTTCAAAATAGGTTAAAAAAGTTTTTCTCATCAGGAAGAGGCGCCCCTGCCCAGAAATGTTGCAAAATGCATCACAGATTTTTCTTGCCTAACAAATGTAATTGATTTTTGGAAAGTCCATTCGTATTTTTATCAAGCGTGATTTTCAATTTTATAGTCTAGTATGCGGAACGCGTTTCTAAGCAATTCATGTAAGATAATTTTGAGTTTTATGGTCACAAAATTCTTAAATTTTATTTGCAGCTATTGATAGTGGAACAAAATACACAGCTTGTGGGCGCAAATATGTAGTTTCTAATGCAAGTTTATTTATTGCGAGAGATATTTGAAAATTAACCTTCAATACTTAAGGTCTTGTACAATTTTACGGACGCCGCTTCTTACTGCTGCCAACTCGGTTTGAGCATAGCCTCATTTGAAACTTATTCGGAATATACCTGTGTGCAGAATATGATACCAAGTACATAGCTTTTTTATTGTTTTTCAAGTGTATATCTAATGGTTTTGCCACTAAAAGCAAGCACGACTAGTCTAATACTTTGGACATCTGGGAGCCAATGGACGGTTAACGATTATTATTGGTGTCCGTCTGGAGTTAAATTCTTTCCTGAGGCTAAATTTGCTAATTCTGTTAATGCAACGCCAAATGCGTTTCTGGCCACAGTCAATTACTTAAAATCACAATGGTTAAGCGGGTTAAGCACTACCGCTACGTTTAATTTCAACAAGCAGCCTTCGTCGTTTTTAAGCAGAGTTTTGTGCGAAGAAAATGATTTTTTGGCAGATGTAGCCACTTCTTCTTCTTCCACTAGTACAACCACTGCTCGACCCGCTACGACCACTGCAAAAGCCACTGTGACCACCGCAATTGGTACTACAACCACTGTGAAAACCACTTTGACCAGTGTTGGTACAACGACCACTGCAAAAGCTACTACGACTACTGCTAAAGCTACCACTGCAGCACCAACACCGGCACCAGCACCGGCCCCAAAACCACCAGGACCAAAAGGCTAATTCTGAAAGGCCAAAATGTTTCACACAAGGCTTTGCTTGTGCTCAAAATTTAATAAAAAATCTGAAACAAAACTTTCAAAGCAATAGATTTTTGATGCAAAAATCAAATTATTCAACTTTTATATTATTATAGAATTAAATTTAGAATTTACAATACCCTGAATTTAAGGCGTACTATTATGCGAGTCTCCCCTAAATGCATTTTGGGACAAAAAGTGAGCCGACGATTGATCCAAGCAAAAATTTATTGAAATTATTTATTAAATATTAAATAGTCAGCAAGCAGCGCGATTGCTCATTCAATTGAAGGCTGCCGCGATCGAAACTGGAAGAGACGTTTTTTCAATATTTACATGCAAGAAGAAAATATTCCGATTTGAAAAACCGACAAAACGATATAATTTATTATGACCGCGCCAGAAACAGTTTGCGATGACGATTTTGACAAATTGCAACGCACTCTGACAAGTGGCTAGGTGAAGATGAAGCACACAGCACAGACAGCTGCAATTAATTTTTATTGAAGCTTCCCTTTGCTTTTAAGAGATGTGGTACTAAAAATATAAATAAATAAATTAATTATATTTTATTCAAATGGGTGCTTAAAATTTATAACGTAATTTAATTTTTCATTAATTAATTTTTTAAATATTTAAATTTAATTAATACATTTTTATGAATTTAAAGCTAAAACAGTAAAATTATAAAATAAACCTTTTTTAACTGATGAATAATATTAAAATTTAATGTTGTCTGTTGTTAAAAAAATAAAACCTAAAATTAAGAACTAAACTTTAAAATCGTAACAGCGACGCATTTTAGATTTTTTAGCTCCACACGCCTCTGAGTCCTCCGAGATCAATTATAGGATCTTTAAGCTTTGTTACAATTAAATCTAAGAAAATTTAATTTGGATTTGCATCAAAACTGGGGTGGCTGTGAAAATTATTATTATTATTATTGTTGTTTATTTGTCCACATTGTTACAAATACATTGTTTACATTCAATTTTTGAAAAACAATTAAAGGGTTGTTTTTTTCTGCCGCTGGATATGGAGTAGGGCTGCAAGCCAATTTAGGTGACTGGAAACTGCCTGTGCCTGCAGTCATGTTGTTTGTGCTTGGTAGAAAAGGCAATTTTATAGGTTTATTAGAATTTTTTTTTGTCAGGCCAAGACAAAGACGAAGGGTGTCTTTTCGGCCTGTGCCCTTTTTACAGACGGCAATCGGCAAGCTCTTATTTTATTACTGACATATTGGCTTACTTATATTTTAACTATATTATTATACCCATTTCATATTATTTTATAAATTATTAGGCCGCACAAGCTCTCCATTCGTTTCCCCTCCCGCCGTTTCTTCGACTGTGGTCACGTGACCGATTTGTTTTTCGACTTGCAGCTGCGGGTAACGTGACACTGGATACGTCAAATGCGCGTTAATTTGCAGCTCAATTTCGGATGAACGACGAGTCCCGCGATGAAAATTGCGGATTATCTGCGGCGGTTCATCGACAAGAAGCTATGGCTCATATTGGAAGGCACGAATGTGTCGGACAGCGAGAAAATCGCGGCCGAGGAGCTGCTGCACGAAATCGTCACTGCCCTGGGCGAGCCCAATTCGCAACCCAGCACCCGGACTTCCGTCCTTTACAAGTTGTTTTGTCCTCAATTTCATTTACTTGAGGCTAATTTATATAAATTGGTTACATTACAGACCATCTTTGACTGGAATCGTTTCGAGTCATGAGCAGCTTCTGTGGATCATCGCTCGGTTGTTGCGCAAGTTTAAGGGGTCGGACCACATCTTGCTATCAAAAAATGCTCGATTTGAGAGTTTGCTCTCGTGTTTAAACGCACCAGAGCATATATCTAGAGTAAGTTTTCCCTCAAAATTATTAAAAAGTATTTATTGCTCAATTTTTTGTCTTAAAGGAGCTGCGAACTTTAAACGAGGCTGTGTCAAATTTAATTTCTTCGGACGGCACTGACGGTAGGGAAGTCCACCTTCCTCTTGATGTAGCCGATTTTCTTCACCAGTCCATGGTTCAAGGAGATATTGATGCAGCAACAGGACTAGTGAACTGTTTGCTGAGTCCATATTTGAGTCACTTGTCAACTTTGGACGCAAACTTGCTCAAAGTGAACCAAGATGCATTCCAATCCGCACTGCAAACCCTCGAATCTCCAGACGAATTCAGTATAAATCTACAAACACCTCATGAATGGTTTGACTTATTAATTAATCAACAGGATCAGCCGTCCTTCTTCATTTGCTGGCTGTCACTAGTGACATTTTAACAAATCTACCCCAAATTCATGAACTTGCTAAAAATGACATAATAAGTAAACAGGAGGTATTTTTGGCACTTCTGGCCAGAAAAGAAACTCCACCGGCCTATGTCCTGAATTACTGCAACCTGGATGCTCCAAGTGAAAATTGTTTGGACAACGAAGGCCACTTGCAAGTTCAAAATGCATTTGTCTTCCAAAACAATAGAAGTTCTCACTGGCTTTTGAACTACCTGGTAAAAAAGCAAGTTAATTCACAGATGTCTTAAAAATTGATTTTAGAATTGTTTGAGCCAATCTAATTTAGAGAGGAAGACTGATGTTAACCACACTGCAGATCTGAAGCCACTGATGATGTTTCACCTGTGGACTGAAGACTGTTGTAATTTGTCTGTGATAAATCAATACGCCGAGCATTCCAAAGTAAAATTATCCTTGAAATTTTTTTACTAAAATAATATTTTTTTCAATTTCAGAACCTTCCTCTCCTAAGGCTAGAAAATTTGTTACGAAGAAGAGAATTAGTGATGTCGTGGATAAAGAAGCAAGAGAAATTAAATGCCGAAGTGATTCAGGTTGCCGTTTTGAGTCTTTTGAGCAAATACTCTCCACTCAAAGTTCTGCACCAGAGCGGGGCTTTGCTTGAGTCAAACTGGGATGAAATTCACAAGCTGCTGAAGAGCTGCAAGCAGGACGACACCAAATCAAGTTCATGGGAATCGGTTACCTTCCAGGGCTACTGCATAATGATCAAAGCAATGAACTTGTTCTTCAGCGCTTGCAAGTTCAATGGTAAACTGGCATTGCAATAATAAATCAATAACTGAAAGTTTGATTTTAGAAAACCACCCAAAAGATTTTGACCAGTACCAGGAGAAAACCGTAAATGTGAAAGAGGAGCTGAACAAGCTCCAGTCGGAATTAAAAAAGCTCTATCCTATCAGTTTCAGGTAAACTTTGTTAAAATCTACTTCAAAAACTTTTAATTTAAATTTTTTTATTATCAATTAGGTTGGAGATACTGGAAAACATATTTTCCCTCCTGTTCTTGCGCTACGAACATTTGAAAGCAGACGAAGTGGCCTCTGACAGTGGTGGTGAAGACGACGACTCTCTGAAGAGCCTTGCAACTGTTGCTGAAGGCTCATTGACCCCAGAAATTCCAACACACTCCGACCAACCTGATTTTGCAGGCTGTCCAAGCAATGTCCAACCTCAGCCTAAAAAATTGCCAAAAAGTGGTTTTATGTGTGGGCCCTTAATTATCCGAGACACATTGGCCTTTATGAAAGAGTGCCTCGTCGACTGCAGCTCTTCTCTGTACAAACACAAATCTGATATGGAGATTGAAGACACTCTTGATTTGCAAAAGAAAATCACCATGTAACTTAAACTGGATTTAAATATTTGCAGAATTTTGATGTGATTTATGATATCAGTTTTAGTCAGAGTGTGACGGAGGCATGGTGGCGTCTGCAATTGGTCACTGACCTTTCAGATGTTGTGGAGTATGAGAAGAAATCAAAAAATTTCATTCCGCAACCTCAAAGAGGCTACCTCAGTTCAGCAAGTAGCAGTGACAGTGATTCGGAACTGCAAGTAAAACCTAGAGCAAGAAAGTCGTCTTTCAAATCAAGCCGTTCTGAGAACACTGACAAGTCTAGTGGTTCTGGTTCCAACACCACAGGTAGTTTTTAAATGGTCATTTATCTTCAAAATTATTGCACACATGATTTAGGTGGAGTTAGTGTTAGTTTTGGCTCAAGAACAAAGAAAAACAGTAGAAGAAAATTACGAGCCCTGAACAAATTGCCAATTGAAACTGACTCCATTATGAATATTTTGCTTGCAAATCCTACTAGTCTGGCAGTCTTGTGTCTTTCAAGGAACGACTACAAAAAAGCTCAACAAGTTGTTCAGGTAACATTTTATCTTTTTTCTTTAAAAAAACGCTAACGGTTTTAAATTAAATTACAGACTTTTCATTTGGAAAATTCAGATGTGGCAAATGAAGCCAATTTCTTGGAAATGTTTTTCTCTCTTTCATCGGAGGTGTCGAAAAACCAGAGAAGCAACCCTCGGGAGTTTGCCACTGAATTGAGCCCAACAAACAGCAAGATGATAGTCTCCTCGTCGCTTGAAGTATTAATATCTGGACCCATGAATTTTCATTTAATTAAAATTTCAGTTGGTCCGTAAAGCAGCAATGATGGGCATGAGTGCTGTGTCCGTAACCAGTCTTGTTGAAAAAATCCTTGCTATGGCTCCTGTCGTACATGGCATGGAGAGACTGATTTTTGAAAACCATCAAGCAAAGATGATCCTGAGCGATATAACTGAAAAAGTGATGGTTTCTGTTGACGCAGCTCTCTGTCTTGGTAACACGAGCTGTGCTTCGCTAAGTTTAATGGACGTCGTCTCTCAATACATCAAATTTTCAAATACAAAATCCGGCGTCCAAGGCAGGGGCTATGCTCATTTTGTGACCACCATCATGGAACTTTTTCGTTCCCTGCAAAGCAAGGTGGGCAATGAAAAAAAAAACTGAATCATGGCCATCATGATTTTTTTTTTCATTTTCCATAGGAAAGGTGTGGAAGCGCAGCAGACACATTGGGAGCATGGGCAATCCCATTAAATGTGAACTCCCTAAATGAATACTTGAGCATTATTTTGGGATTCCAAACCTCTTTGTCTGATTTCTTTGGGACCTCGTCCTCTGCCAGAATTAAAATTGCATCCGTCCGCCAACTGATTAAACAGTTATCAGACTATAGTAATGTTTATGGTCAGTATAAGATTACATTTTATTTAATTTATTTTTTAAACATTTAAACAGAGTTAAAGGGTGTCAGAGAGGCAGGGAAGGAAGAGCTGCCATATCTTCAGCACCTTTTATGGTACTTGCAAACACTATCTTTCGTTCTCACAAGATGTTCATCTGAAAATATGAGAGGTAAGGAATTCGTTGCTAATGTTTTCAAACACTTAAGTTTGCTTTTTTAGGATTGACTAACCCTTTTGACTTGCTGCAAGATCCGTGGGAGGAAATATTGAGCCGCTTGATCTTTCACTTTGAAGCGCCACTTACTCGAGTAGAACGGGTTGCGAACAGACTGAATCTCGACCTGCTGCAGGCCATTGTAGGAGCATGTTGTCCAAGCTTTCAACAAAGTGGAAAAAAGCACGATCCCTCAGTTCAAATCCAACCGGCTGCAATGGCCTGGGCAAAAATCAGCTTGAACGCAGCAACTTGTCAGCAGGTATGAATTTTGAAAATCTTTTCACAAATATTTCTTTATGTTTTTGTTAAATAGGAAATAAAATGTGGCCCAGACGCACTGGCTGCCCAAATCCTAACCGATTTGCTATCGGCAATTAGACAAAACGACTCTATACTCGTCACAAGCAGTGATCTTTTAAATTTGTCAAACAATGTAGAGATCGTCCAAATTTTGAATGAGACAACAAAGTTGAGTGGAGTGGACCTGGGCAGCTTGGAGGAAGATTATCAAAGGACAGCTTTTATGTGCAACATCTGCAACCTGCTCATGCTGCACAGTTTGATTGCTTTGGGCCCCAGTAGTGGTCTGACGTCAAACAGTTGGACAGAAAGAAGGGCAGCTTACAACTGCATTGGCTACCATATTGGGCAAATGGGATTTGTCACTCTCTCTGGCCTACTCAGACAATTGGTCGGAACTGATTACGACGACAACTTAGAATCCAAAAGACACGAAAACTTCATGTGGGGTGTGGAAAACAAACTCGCACTCTTTGCTGTTAGCCGAGGAACCATCCAGAGCCCATTTATAAAGGTTAAATAAGGAGCCATTTAAGGTTCATTTTTTGTATCTGCATTTTTCTTTTAGGTTTACAATTCTGAAACAATTGAAATTGAGTTGGAATCAGCAGCTGTGGACTACATCATGCACAACATTAGAGTAGAGGGCTCGAGAGCAGAGGGCTGCCTTAGTTTGATTTTGACGCCTCTAGTCTTGCAGTATCTGGGACTGTCATCTGTATCATCTTTAGACCCTGCCGTTGAAGCTCAGGACGAATCTCAGCCATCATTGCCACAGCAGTACTTCCCAGTTACAAGCATGGCCCGAGATTGTGCAGCTCACATACCGTCTATCTTGGGTTTTCTGGAGAAACGAGTGGAGGGACAACTCAAGCTGCAGCTTGCAGACTGGAGAGATGCGTGGGAAAATTCAACAGATGACACTAATGGTACTTGAATTCAAATTAATTTACATCAATGATTGCTAATTATTCAAATATCAGATTTAGTCATCACTGTTGAAGACTCAAGTAAAAAGCTCGGAATTCTTCTGCAGTCATCGATGGAGGTTGTTGTCTCAGACGAAGGGGCTCATGACCAGGACCACGTAACTGGAAGATGGGAAAGTTGTTCCCTTAGTTCTCGAATACTCCAGTTTCTGGCTAAAAGATGCTGGATAGTTGCCCTTTTGGGGGAAAGACTCAGACGTGGGGTTCAGGTACCATATTACAGCTTCTTAATAACATTGTGGTAAATTGAATAACGTTTTCAGGAGTTTCAATTTTATCCCCACACAGAGAGTCTGGACAGGTATCTAGGAGAAAAATTTGCTCTCCTGTCAGCCTTTGGGGACGGCAACTTGATTTTGGGTGCATTGAAACCACCTTGGATGATCTTGGACGAAATTTGGCCTATTTTAGATCGATGTGTCAATGATCAAAATGAGGAACAGTGCATCCAACTTATTTGCTCTCTGCCAGAGTACATGATTTCCGAAAATGTTAGACTGCAAACTTTCAAAGATCTCTTACTCTTCTACGCAGCTAGCCAGTCAAGAGGACATGGTTGGAATAATTTATTTAATTATATTTTATTTTAATTGTAGAAAATGTAGGTATTGACATGCCGCACAGACTGGCACTGTCTTTGGGCACAGCTGAGCTTCGAGTGCAGTGCATATTGAGGAGCATTCAGTTTTGGTCTGGCGAGGACAGCATCGAGGCATTAAAAACCATTCTTGGAGACCCTGAAATCTCTAGAGAAACCAGAAGTAAAGCCCTGATGGCTCTCAAGAAAGTTTCAATTTATCAGCAGGTTCACAAAATACTCTGCTACTATCAACCAAACAAGGTTGTCAGATTAAAATTATGTTAAAAGTTTACTCAACTATTTTTTTCTTAGACTTCACTCTCAGATGGCTGGTATCAAGTTTTAAATTTGTCTGATAATGACCCAGGAGAGGTTCTTCGAGCATTGATTGAAGCTAAACAGGTGTGAAGTACTCTGAGAAAGAGATTTCATAATCCGTAAGTTATTGTTTTCAGTTTCAACTTTGCATTCAGTGGGCAGATTTACATGGTGTGCCAAACAGGGCAAATCATTTGATTGATTGCAATTTTGTTGCACCTCTCTTGGAATCATCCGACTCGGTTAACTTTGCAGCAGCGGAAAAGGTTAATAATTTTCTGCCCAAATTGCTACAAAAATTCACTATTATGTAAATCTGGTAGCTTTTGAAATCAGTGTCAGTTGATCGAGCTGTCTCTATCTGCCGTCGCCTGCTTGGCTCTCTCTCGTCATTAGCCAGTCTGCAGTTTGTCGTCAATTTTGCCCTGGTTTCTTGCAAATCGTGGCTGGAAGAGAACACAAACGTTTGGGCCAATCTTCAGCTCTGGTCTGTGGGTCTCTCTATTATCAACCTTCTACCAGTGAACGAGCAAAATAAAGACAGAACTTTAGCTTCAAAACCACACCTTCTCTTAGAGCAATTTTTAATGAACACAAAACTTGCAACTCTTGCTGAAGCTTTGGATAAATTGAGGAATGCAGATTTAAGTGGTAGAATAAAATTATTATCAATAAAAGCAGACAAAAATTTTCCATTTCTAGCTGTATCGTCTGATAATCCAGCTCAACCAAATGCCATTGACTCCATGCTCAGGATGTATGCCGACAAGGCCCTTGACTTCAGGGTTGTTCAAAGAGTTGTACCAGAAGTGACAACTCCTGAGCCAGAGGATTTGCTCCAGTCACTGTCAACTGGCTCGACTGGCAGTGGAAATGCAATCTTTGTAATGCCACCAGTCCCGCCTTCAAAGAGTGGATGGGTTCCAAATGATGAGGTAAAGCTGAATAATTATTTTTAATGTCTGCTTAAAGGGTGATTTTATACAACAGGTAACTGAATGCATGTGCTGTCGAATGGTTCCCTTTTCTATGTTCAACCGACGGCACCACTGCCGACGGTGTGGCCGAGTTGTTTGTGGTTCATGTTCCAATCACAGATCAAAGGTAAATTTAAAAAAATTTGTATTTTGAAAATTTCCCTAATAAAAAATCATCACATAGGTTGACGGTTATGGGGAGCTCCAAGTAAGAATCTGTGACGATTGCTTTTTCGCAATGAAAAAAGACATTCTGCCGGAAGTTAATAAGAATGCAGAGCCCTCTCTCCATTCCTCCCAGCAAACCTACATAGTCGAGTGGACACTGACTGGTGAAAAGTCCCAGGACGACACTGCCAGAGATGAATTCTCCTTTGAACATGCACCGAGCGTGGCTCTTTGCTTGTCCATTCTAGGCCTGCACTCCGAACATGCAGCTGCTCAGCCACGTTTTTTGCTGGAAGCATCAGATACAATGCTGCAAATGTTAGTGCCTCCTACGCCTGGATTTGTCAACCCTGAGTTGGACTACAGTCTTGTCATCAGAATGGCAAGGTAAGGAAGCATTAGAATTATTTTGAATCATTTTCATCTAATATAAAATTTTAGGAGCCTTGTTGTGGCAGCCAAAGTCAGGTACGCTAAAGCTGCCCTCAACTCCGGTGTTGCCCACTGTGATCGTCTTTTGGGACAAGTTGATCTTTTGTCGCTGCTGGTCAAAAGTGGATGCGCTAATTTACTTCCCGTTGAACCGTTACCCTTGAGTAAGATATTATAATATATTTTTTTCTATTAAATATATTAATATAATTTGCATTTCCAGGTGGTCATGCCTTACGTCACTTAAGAGACAGGCTGCTTTCTGCTGAGCTCTGGTCATTGGCATTGGAGGTTTCCACCAAAGCAGGCCTTGACCGAACTGGAGTTTGGGCTGCTTGGGGGAAGGCTTGTCTTCGAGCTGGAAAGTGGCAAGAGGCACGGGAACACCTGGTTCACTGTTTGCAGCCTCCAGTCTCGTCTCAAGATTCCGTTCCAACACCCCTCTTGTCCGAAATCATCCGAATTTTGGAAGAGGCAAGCTACGTCCAAGACGAAGGTGTGATGAAACTTTCGGAGCACATCAGCTCGCCAGCTCTCTCTGTTTTGCACACCCTGAATTCCTTGTCATCAATATCGCAAGGAAAATTTGTCATAAAAGATTTGTCCAAACAAACTGCCTGCTACACAGAGTGCCAGTATTATTTGCGGACGTATGGCACTCCAGGAACAACAATTTCATTCTTTTTGTCCCACTCCGACCTGCTCTCTGCGCTGAGGTTCGTCAAAGACCGAAATGTCGAGCCTGATGTTTTTGCCGAGGCTCTGTACAAACCTTGCTTAGTCCAGGGACTAGTAGGCCAGCTCTATCAAGAGATGAGGAAAATGGACCCTTCCCTTGAAATGTGGAAGGTGACATTCAAAACATTATGAACTTGCATTTATTTAATCGATTTTTCAATCTAGGAGATTATCATGCATGTAGGACGCTTGCTGGAGCAGCAGGGTCTCTGGAATTCCCTCTACCAACTGCAGCTTTTTGCCAAAGACCTGGTTCGAGCTGCCATGACATGCATTCGATTCTACAAAGCTGGCGCTCGCTGCTACTCGGACATGAGTTCTGAACAACTAACCAAAGCAAGAGGACACATTGAAGACGAGTTGGCAGAGCACTGGGCTTCTGCAGGTATTTTATTTTTTTCTATTCGAATGCAAAAAAATAATGTTGTTATTATAAACATCCCAGGATTGAAGAGGAGGGAAAGTTCCCTTAGCAGAAGCCGATCAACGGAGTCACCTGACGCTTCAGAGAGCGACTTTCAAATTCCACTAAAATTACCAGCTCGCTCACTAGACCATCATATCAACACAATTTCTCGACAATTGGAAGCAGCCAAGTTTCTGCAGCAATGCGAGTCTGAAGACAGGGCAGCTGTGGTTGCAATTTCTTCCGCTGTGGGCAAGCTGATGGCTCCGACAGGCCAGACAATCCTGATACCTACACTCTTCGGGGATCAAAATGAAAGAACTTTGATGGCAACTTTGATTTTACTTTGTGGCAAAAATATTGAAGAAGGTTTTGGAATTACTTTTAGGTAATGAACCCATTTTAAATCACGTCAGCCTTGTCTAAATATTATTTGCAGAATAATCCAGTACTTCCGACTAAAAGCGAACCGAGTTTATTCGCTGGTTGCAACGTATTTAATTGACTCTGGAAGAAGCAGACACATCCCCCAACTGGTCAACTGCATCCAAAGCTCGGGTTCGGCTGATGCCATTTCTAGCAGTGATGAGCTGGTGAACCAATGCATCAAGAGACTAGTCGAAGAGAATGCTGATGGCATTAATCTATCCGAGCCCCTGCTTCGTCTAATCTCTGAAACAGAAGCCAAGGTACAATATTTAAGTGCTGATTGTGCTGAACCATTGTGATAATTAATTATTATTAACCATCCCTCAGATTCAGGCGCATTTAACTTGTGGATACCTCAAGTCTGCGTATTTGCTGGCTGTCAAGTCTGGCCGAGTGTCCGATGTTAAAATGATTCTCAATGAAGCCGAGCGCCTAAATCAACCAGCAATGAAGAGAGTTTGTTTGCAATGGCTCTCTCAAAAAGAGCGTGGGCCTAAAATGTAATCTCATGTTTTATAAGTAAGGCCAGTTTAGTGCCCTTCCTTCCATGTGATATTTTGAAGGACTTTTTAAGACTGTTGATAGAGCACGATAGTACGCTATTTTTACCAGACACAAAATAATAAATAAATCAAAACAGACGGATACCTTTTAATGTACAACATTTATTAAATGTATTATTTTTCTGTACAAGCTTCGCGTTTTACCAAAATTGTTTTTTTTTCTTTATTAAAATGATTCGTCTCCATCGCGTAATAATTACAGCAGCAAGTATACATACTACTCTCTTTATTATATAAACCGTATCACAATAAATAAAATAAATTTATTCTAATAATTGCAACTTGCTTTTCTTTAGTCAAAAATATTGTTTTGACGCCAGACAAAAAATACATGGCACAAATCTGCGTTCATTCATCGTACATACGATTGATTCTTGTCCCTAGTCGCTATGAAAATATATATATACTTCACATCATGTACACCAAGGGTATTGTTATTCAATATTTCTATTTTTTTAATCTTCTTTTCAAGTTTTCAAGGATATTATTTACAAGAGATTAAATTGAATCGACAGTAGTGCATCATCGCTTCTGAGGTGCAATTATTGTTGTTGAGAGGCAACGTTTCCAAAAAGTCGGGCTTGGAAAAATTGTCAATCACTCTAATGTTTGTTATTATATTGCTTGGCAGATCGGTCACAAAAATCAATCAAACATACACTGTGCAGGTTTCTGTTCCTTTAGTACACGTTATGTGATCGGCCTATTTTGAGCACTTTTTACATAATTTGCAGATGACAATTATGTACACCGAGTAAGCTAGAAATCAAAATTTCAAAGTCTTAATTCCAATATTGCAGAGCAGCTCCCAAGAGAGAGGAGCCTTCACAAAATAAACATTGTTAAATAATAATAAAAACAACGTTCTTTAAAATATTCTTTGTAAAACAAGTAGTGCATTGCATAAAAATACCTTAAACATTTCACAGTCTAAAATAAAAGAGTTGAACACGATCGAGTAAAATTTTCAACCAGATATTTTTTCCATTCAAGAGCTCGAAAGGAACGCAGTCCATAGAATATTTCAACTTAAAAGAAAAAAGCGTTAAAAATCAACTTTGATTGTGCAGGTTAAAAATTTGCAGAGCCGGAGCTCCGGTCGGTTGAGTGGATTTGTATTATTAAAAATAGTCTGCTTTTTTGTGTGTACGTGTGGTTGGAGATGAGAGAGCGGCCAAAGAGAGCACAGCTCTGCCTCTGGCCTCCAGCTAGTATGTCCATTTTAAAGCACTCGTGAGTGAATCACAACAGTATTAGACAGGATTCGGTTGGCTTTACAAGCAGTCTAATTTTGCGCTTCGGCAGCTAGAAAGCAATTTTTCAAAGCTGGTTTTCCTGAGATGCCTAAATGCACATGCAGTTTTAAGTAAACCGAGTATATAATTACATTTATAGAAAAAGCGTCGAGTTGCTCGAAAACCAACTAAAAATATCCGAATCCTGGTTATTGTATATTTAAATGTCATCTACCTGCGACGCACAGTGAGCTACGATTACAAAATACTGTTTCCTTGTATAAAAATATTTCCACAATGCTGAAGAAGCTAATTATTTAGTCGACTGCGACAACACAAGGAATTATTTTGCACTTTTTCGCGATTGGCATAAAAGTAGAGAAAATGCAATAATACTGGTGGATTCTTATTTCTGCTGATGATGGCGACAAGAAAATTGTTTAAAAAAAGGAAGACTGTTGATTGACAGATAAGTTTGAAACTGAAGAAACTTGCTCATCGGCCGCAAGATAAAGAGTGAGAGAGCCGGTGGGAATTGAGCAATCAGAGTTAGAATTATTATTTTCACTTTGGGTTTGGCAGGGTCTTAAGGTATTGTGATCTGCAGATTTGGAGCGAGATATCAACATCTTTCTTATAGCGAGTTTCTATGAAGTCAGTAGCCAAGATGGGGTAAGCGACAGGTTACTTTGAGTTGAATCTGCTGGAAGAATCCAGACATGGCTCATCCAGCGTTTTTAGACAAATTCAAAGGCATGTCTGAAAAATAAAAAATAAATATTATAACTGCTACTGAAAAAGTGACAAAATGTACACAGATGGTATTTGATTGTAATTATAACCAATATTATTTGAATTAATTAAAATCCCAAAGAAGATTATAAGAGGTAGAAAAAAATACCTGCTGCCAACTCCTCTCTTTTCCCAGGGTCACCATAGAAGGGTGGTGGCATTGGTGCAGTCGGTCCAAGGTGGGTGTGGCCCCAGGCTGCCCCCAGGGGCAACAGCCCTGCTGCCGGGTAGTTGAGAACAGGACCAGCTGAGTGCGGATGCGTCCACAAGCCCCGGGAGTATGGAGAAAAATACTGGGGCATCATGGGCGCGGGTGGAGGGAAAAAGTTGAGGCCAGAAAAGGGTTGGTGGAAGGGCAGGGGATGTGAGGATGGAGGGTCTGGAGATGCTACTTTCTTCTTAGAGGGTCGCCACTTGACCTCGGAGGGGGACTGCGGCGAGGAGACGCAAGAAGGTGACGATCCCGAAGATCCCTGGTCACTGCGAGAAGGCGACTTGAGGAGCGACCTGAAGAAAAATACAGAAGAAATAATGTAGATTATCTGTGAATGACTGTGATAAATGACCAAGCAAATGAGGAAAAATCTTTTAAGCATAATATTGTTGATATAGAAGAATTTAAATTAGTAAATTATTTAAATATACAAAAAAGATTTTACATCCTATTTTTTGTTACAAAATTAGCGTCAAAGAATTCAAAACTTAAAAATAAAAGGAAAGGGTACTTGATTGTTTATCCATACCTGAGGAAGGGTGAAGGCTCTGACTCTGGAGGTTCGTCAGTCCGGCCAAGCAAAGAGTTAATGCTGTACGATCCCAGCCTCTCTTTGCCTTTTGATGATGACGATGAGGGTGATGGACTACTTGTGGGCGACGGTGTTGAAGCAGGCACGCTGTAACTACCTTTTGTTCGGACAGCGTTGATGTGTGGACCAAGCACAGGGGGTGACGGAGACTTCACCTGAAAATTTCAAATCAGGGATTTAATACAAAGTTATTACTTTAAATAACAAAAAAGAAAAAAAAATTGTCAGAAACAAGAGCGACGGAAGTTGTTAATCAACAGAAACATGATGTGTTTTGGATTTTTATCTCTCATCTGACATACTGATTTATAATTGTGCGCAGCTGTCAGGATGACATGATTTTAATTTCTGTTCAAGTTATGTAACATTTTAATTTCATAACATTAATTTAAAACGCGATCTTTAAAAAAACTTTAGAACTTAAAATTAATTTCTTCAAATTAATTGGACAATTGGAGTTATAAAGTGATCAAATAAAATAAATAAGATTCTAATTTTTCTAAATTTAGGTACTTAAACTCCCATGCTAAGGAAAAAAATAGGATAGCTAAAACAATACTTAATTTTATTTAATTCTCACTCCAGTTTATGAAATAATTTAGATAAATGATCAGTTTGGTTTGCATTCTTTTATAAAATACTTATTATAACTTTGGGTGTTTCAATCAAATGCAGAGAATAATACCTGAGCACTAGATGATGGCCTTTTGTGTCTCTTATTAGTCTGGTCCTCCAAAGAAACCCTTTCAAATTCTCTGAGAATTCTTTTCCTCGGCGACACCACACTGTGGTCTGCTTTGCTGCACCCGGCCACAGGCGACACCTTTCTTGCCTCGGCTGACTTGGCAGCCAAAACTTCAACAACAGCCATTAGTTTCTTTCTCTCGACCGCACTTGCCGGCGGCCTGTCACCCCCCATCACTGCCACTGAACCCTCCATGACCTCCGCAGGGTCAAACGGTCTCCGTCTCTTATGCTTCAAAACCAAACAATTTCGCCGCCTGGCTGACTTTGCACGAGCGTCTGGCCGCATCAGGAATGTCAGGTAGCGGCCTGCATCCTTGCGAGGGTGGTTCTGCTTCCAGCAGTGGTCCCTCTGCCAAGGGGAAGATTGCACAGACGAATTGTCATCAGACACTGCGAACAAAGCGAATTTTTTAGTATTAAAAGAAAACAATCTGAATACAATAACAACAATTCATAAAAGATATACTTAAATACTGAAAAAAAATACTTTTTAAATTTAACGTTAGTTTAAATTAGCAATTTCCATAAAATATCAGGCTTAGAAAGAATAAAAATGTTTAAATTAACAGAATTTTACTTTTTGCATGATTAAGGCTTTGAATTAAGTATTTTACTTTTAATTATTCTCTTATACTTTATATTTTGTCTTTTTGTTTATAAAGTTTTTGATCATTCTACTTTTATTGAACCAGTATCATGCTAAATTTACCACTTAATGAGGCCGAACTCTCCTGACGAGACGACCCAGCCACTGCGACAGGAACCAGAGAACTGCATTTGCCTCTCGGCGGCCAATATGTTTTCTTGGGCACCGCCACCCACGACGCCCTTTCGCCCTCCTTGTGGTGCGACAGTTCAAAGATCAGTTTGCCGTCTGTGGAAAAAGTTGCAATTTTTAGTCTTAAACAAAACAAAAATTTGGAAATCAAACCTTTGAAAAACCGCAACCTGCCGCCCGAGTCGGTCTGCACGGTCGTCGGCTTTTGGCCGAAGGCACCGTTGGTGGTGGTGGCGGTTCCATTGCGAGGCGACTCTTTACCGCAGGCGATTTTGCCATCGCCGTTCACGCTGCGCTCGTCGCTCATTTTGGCACACATAAGATTTTCTTGCATCCTCATTGCTCCTATCCCATTGTTATCGTCCATCGCGTGCACGCTCTCTCACAAAGACACGCGTATCGCCTCGTCGTCTCTGACGTCCGTGGGCACGGCAGTTTGCCCCAACCCGTCCATCTTCATTTTCGGGTTCACCTGCTGGGTCTTCTGCTGCAAAATAAAGACCGGAATGTCACATATTTCCGTGGCTGGTGACCTGCCCGGCGTACGAACACATTGATCACCGAGCGGCGCGCCCGGCGAACGTGCAGAAAACAGCCCGGCAAACTGTACTTACTGAAAAATTCCGGATTTCAATGCCGACCAGCACACTTGGCTAAATTCGTCGTCAACACTTTCGGTATTCCGTTCTACGCATTCCCTGTTCCCCAAACGCCATTTCTGTCACTTTCATTCGCTGTTCATCAACCGTATTGTGACCAACTGTGCAAAGGTATTTTAATTACTAAATTCATTATTTGCAACAATAAAATTATTTATTTTATCATTAAATTGAGAAAAAGTAATAAATAATTGTAAATTATAATTTTAATATCGTGTTTTGGCGTTGTGGCTCTCTAAATGTAATGTAATATTAGTGAAGTTTTTCCATTTTGTTGGTGTTAATGTTCCCAGAGTGAATCCCGCATTCCGTCTCGTGACGTCAGAGCTGCACACAATCAACACAAAAATGGCATCCTCGTCGAGCAGCATCAAACGCACCATTCTAAATGAAGATTTGTCGAACGTAGAGTTCGAAACCAGCGAGGATGTTGAAGTTATCCCAACCTTCGACAGTATGGGCCTGCGGGAAGAGCTTTTGCGAGGCATCTACGCCTACGGTGAGCAAAAAACGCCTAGTATCAAAGTGCGGCCTCGATGCCGCCTTTCCACACACGTTTTTGCATTCCAGCACTGGAAAGAGCTCACCTTGATCCAGTTTACACTTAATTTATTCTCTAATCGCATTATTCAAACTTATTTTTGAGCTCTTCAGTCTCGATTCCTAAAAATTAGCATTAGATGCAATCTTTATCTTATAAAAACATGCTGATTGCGGTTTTTACCGGCAGGCTTCGAGAAACCCTCGGCCATTCAGCAGAGAAGCATCAAGCCCATCGTGAAGGGCCGCGACGTGATCGCCCAGGCGCAGTCAGGAACAGGCAAAACCGCCACCTTCTCCATTTCGATCCTGCAAAGTTTGGACACACAATTGAGGGAGACGCAGGTGCTATGTTTGTCGCCCACAAGAGAATTGGCTGTCCAGATTCAGAAGGTACCAGATACATGACATGATTCGTTTTGAAGCCAAGTTATTAATTCAAAAATACAATTCATCAGGTCATCTTGGCCCTTGGCGATTACATGAACGTGCAGTGCCACGCATGCATCGGAGGCACCAACTTGGGAGAAGATATCAGAAAACTTGATTACGGACAGCATGTAGTTTCCGGAACCCCTGGCAGAGTTTTTGGTAAATCCTCTCTTCTATTTTTTAAGGATCAGCATTAAAATTTACGTTTCATATTTAGACATGATTCGCCGCAGAACACTTCGAACCCGTTCCATCAAAATGCTGGTGTTGGACGAAGCCGACGAAATGTTGAACAAGGGCTTCAAGGAGCAAATTTATGATGTGTACCGATATTTGCCTCCTGCAACCCAAGTGTGTCTCATTTCTGCCACCCTGCCTCACGAGATTCTCGAAATGACCAGCAAGTTCATGACCGACCCCATCCGTATCTTGGTCAAACGGTTAGAAAATTTAATTTTGTGTTTTTTAAGGAATTTTCTAATTTAATGCATTATGCAGTGATGAGTTGACACTCGAAGGCATCAAACAGTTCTTTGTGGCGGTTGAACGAGAGGAGTGGAAGTTTGACACACTTTGTGATCTCTATGACACACTGACCATCACACAGGCAGTTATTTTCTGCAATACAAAGAGGAAGGCAAGTTGAGATAAATAGTTTTGTCATTTTTTATTTTTTAAATAAAATTTCATTTAATTGTTCTTATTAGTAAATTAAACTCAGGGCTTCTGATAAATCCAAGGATTTATATAAAGCTTTATTTAATGTAGGTTTTATTCCTTTTTGATTTCAATTTTTCAGCATTCGAGTATAAATTTATTTTATCTTGTAGTAAAATTTTTCTAAAACTTACCATTATGCATGCGTCCTTACTCATGATAAATCTGACTGATCCGATCAGGTGGACTGGTTGACAGAGAAAATGCGAGAGGCTAACTTCACAGTCAGCTCCATGCATGGTGACATGCCGCAAAAGGAGCGAGACAGCATCATGAAGGAGTTCAGGTCGGGCACAAGCCGTGTCCTCATCACCACAGATGTCTGGGCCCGTGGTATTGACGTCCAGCAGGTGTCCTTGGTCATCAACTATGATCTGCCCAACAACCGTGAATTGTACATTCACAGGTAAAATCAGATTTTTAACTGTTTAAAAAGATTTTCTACAATCTGGTTTTGCAATTTAGAATTGGTCGCTCTGGTCGTTTTGGACGCAAGGGTGTGGCCATCAACTTTGTCAAGACGGACGACATCAGAATCTTGAGAGACATTGAACAGTACTACTCTACACAGATTGATGAAATGCCAATGAATGGTAAAATTAAATATTTTCCTAAATGGAGCGCATTTCTTATGACAAATCTATTTGCAGTGGCTGATTTGATTTAATTCAACCGACCAAAGGAGTGCAAAGGAGGAGAAAACTAAAGTACTGCAGTTTTGTGTCAATGACTTTTCACTTGTCCTGTAAGGAGAACAGCATAATAATGATTCTGTATAATGTATTTATCTGTAATGCAAAATTTTCAGCATTTCCTCAAAAATGCTTTAAATTAAATAAACTAAAATCTTGATAAATAAAGTTGTCTTTTAGATAAATTGGTGTTTTTGTTCAGCCCTTAGTGATTTAGATCTCAAAACAAATCTCATAGATAGTAATATAATTCAATTTAATTGTACCTACAAAAATTAATTTCAACATAAGAATTTTCAAAAGAAGTTTGATGATGATTGAATATGTAAATCACTTATCTTTTGAAAATTAAAAATTAACTTTTTCATTTGTTTCTTTACTTGTGATAAATCCTTTAGATCATGTTGATAGACGTACATATCAAGTTAATCTTTCTTTTTTTAATTTAAAGTAAAAAATGAAACAATTATTTGTCAATTTTAGCTTGTGTCAAAAATTTGATTAAGTATTGTGATGCAGTTAATTTCATTTTTGAAAGTGATATCTTATAGGAGGGTGCTGGAAAAGAGATTCCACGGTTGACGTATGGCGATGCTTTATCTCAAGTGGCGCGAAAACTGCTGCGCTATGCGCCGCAGTGTGAGAATTAAAAGTTGGCCCTAATGACAACATAAATAAAATTTCTTCTGGCTGCGTCGGCCCATAAATCGGGCGCTCGGCGGCCGTTTCAGCAGCGACTTCATTTTATTACACTCTCTAAGCTCATTTGCTTAAAATTTATTCTTGTAACAATTAACTGCACAGAGCAAAAGTTGCATTATAATAATTTACTACATTTCCGCACCGGCAAAGCGCGCGCCGTATTTTATCTTCTCCCGGCTTTCTGCAATTAGCGAGATAAGTTTTAAAAGAAGCCTTAATTACCGCACACTCTGTCTGAGGCAAAAAGACACACTCTTCTGGCGCGGAGAAAGCATGCAACAATAGCAGTTTAAAAGATTCCAGATAGAAAAATGGAAAGAAATATCAATACCAAGTTACATAATCTTTGTTGCAACAACATAACTTATTTTATTTATTCTTACTAAATAATTTATAATTCCCACCTCAAAAATTAATCTTAGATTTCAGTTAGAAGTTGGATCTAGTCCTGAAAATCAGATTTACAAACAACATTGTTTCATTTAATTGGATAATTATCGGATATTGTTTTTACCAGTTTACCATAAGGGGATTAATATCATAATCATTGCTCTTGATTGAAAATTGACGCAAAAGAATTATCAACTTCTACATTTTCGTGGCGAATTAAATTTTTTCTATAAAATGAAAAAGGTTATCATCTACATACAATTTTTAAATTTTTGAACGTTGAATAACAAAATCAACTACGCACCTTTTTATGAAGTTTGAAGAACTCATTTTGTTTTATATTACTTGCTTATTACTATATTTTAAGTTTTGTGCACTTACAATTAATACATTCCATGTCTTCCATTGAAAAATTGAGGTGAAACATTTTTTTTAGCTTGGAAGTAAAATAAATTTTTTGTTCAGCTTTATAGGTTAAGCAGGGAGCGCTGCAATCTGCGACAAAAGTGGGGATTGAAATTGTGGAGCAGATTTTTCAGAGCGGAATGACTCTTTTTTGGCTCGGGGTTTTGTATTTTGATTAACGGCGGCGGCGGCAGAGAGAGTAAATGTAATCACTGTGGCGCAGCATTTGCTCGCGGCCTTTTCGCCACATTTCGTCTCCTGTGCGATGATGGCTGGCAGAGCCGGCGGGCGTAATCTCGGTGTCATCGCCAGGAATCTTTTCTGCATCGCGATTACCAAGAGTGACATGTCTCGTGATGAACTCCACCCAACCCGCGACTGCTCTGTTGGAGAATGTAGGCAACCAGTGGGACACGGACGACGCAAAGGTTGCCTGCCTTCACTCGCATGAAAGTCGCCGTGCCATTCTTTAATTAGTTTTGAATGCGCGACGCGTGTCAGCCGGCGTTTTGCGCGACGTTCATATTTCACCACCGACTTGTCATCCTGCATGACATCCTCTAAACGTTACACTTTTGTTTTGAAACTCTTTTTTTTTTTGCTTATCTACTTCTTCGTTTCGCTCTCTCACTGTCAGAATCTCAAAGTGTTAATTGGGAATCGCAATTAAATAACTGATAAAACCTGAACTTCAAAGATCAAAATAAAAATATTAGCAAATATTTTTGGAAGAGAAAATAAACCAGGGGTCTGATTCTGTAAGGCTGAAGTAAAGAAATCTCTACTAAATTAGACGAAAATAATTAAACTTTATTTCCAGCCTCTATCCATCAATTTGCCAATGCGTTGTGCGTCTATTTATTATTTATTTACTCAGCCTTGCTTATTGTACGTGCGCACCACTTAATATGTATTCAAATGCGCGCTTGTGCACAAAGAAAACGAGCAAAGATAAAAGCAGAGAGAGCGTATTAAAAAGCCGTCGGTTCTTTGTGCGTTCATCGGGGTGTAAAGTGAGAGAGGGCCAAAGTAACAAACCACGCGCGCACACCCATATTACTCTGAACGTTTTGCCGACGAAGGGAAAAAGTCTCAAACGAATATGCCTCGGGGTTAAAAGGCGCGCCGAGATGAACTCGCGTTAAATTTGATCTGTGAGAGGGAGAAAGGGCTGCATAGTGAACAACACGCACTGCCTGCAGAAATAAGCGGCGAAAAATCTACCCTGCAAATAAATCCCTCTCGGAGCAGCGCTTTTGTTTCTGTCTCCGCAAATTAAATTCGAATATGTTCAACGCACGAGTGCATGTGAGTGAGTGACTGACGTAGGTCCTTTCCACTGCGACAACCGGCTTGCATTCATTTGTCGCTTTGTTGTCAGTCCCTTTGTGGCGCTGCTAACTCTGTTCTTTCCGCAGCATTTAGTCAGACAGGAAAATAATGTCAAGGTTTGCCATTGTAACCTTTAAAATGTAAATATATCAGTTTTAAACCATAAAGTAACTTTGATTAAATTAAAAAATTTGGTAAAATTTTGAGCAATACAAGTGTTTTTTTTTTTACTTACTATTCACTAGCATTGTAAAAATACTTTGCACTTATAATATCATAATTTACATTATTGTACTTTCAAACACTAGAAAAAAAATTAATATTTACTTGCGTGAATTTTTTTCTGTAAATTAAACTATATAATAATGTCCACCCAGCACAGGATGAGAAAACTGAATTTTCAATAATGCTCTGGAATGTTGAGGGACTTTATAACACATTAGAAGCAATTCATTTTAAAGACTGATTTTTTCAATGGTTTTGATTTGCTTTGTTTTACCGAAACTTTTTCACAAAAACCACTTAATATTCCGGGATATCATTCTAATAATCTTTTTGCATATAAAGAGAAAAGGCAGGGAAGACCACTAAGGGGCATTTCACTTTTTTATAACGACCGTTTTGGGGATATAATTAAAACAATCAAAATTAAAGACTGTACATTAATAACATTTTTTAAAAATATCATCATAATTCTTTGTTATTTTAATCCGAACATGAATGAATTTGAATTTTTAGAAGAAATTTTGACTGCTTTCGGGAAGATTGATAACTTTTATGAACAAAACATTATTTTCTTGGGCGATTTTAATGCACGACTGGACAAAAACAGCGAAAAGGCCAAAGAATTAATTAACCAGACACAACAACATGGCTTAAAATTAGTTAATGATAGTCTAACAAAAACATTTGGAAATGATAATCATGGTAGCACAATAGACCTGATTTTTTATAGTAGAAACTTTTCATTAGAATATAAAAAGATTAATCAAGAAACATTTATTAAGAGCCACCATCCAGTTGAATGTAAATTAAGCACAAAGAGCCAAGGTTTTCATAAGCGAGTACCAAGGAATAAAAATAAACCGGTTTATAAAATTGACCTAGAAAAACTTAATTACTTGGTCGAAAATAATTATGTAAATATGAATACCCTATTAGACAATGAGAACATTGAAGCTTTTTACTTGCATATAGTTGACATCATTCAGAATAGCAGGCAGACTCCTCGAAAAAATAATAGAAAAAGTAAACCTTGGTTTGATGAGGAATGCTTCCTATTCCGAAAAGAATTAATTAATATTTATCACAGATTAATAATGGGAAATTTCAGAAATGATAACCTTGTTCAGGAATTTAGAGATAAAAGAAGAGAATATAAGAAACTTATTAAATCTAAGAAAATAGACTTTCAAGGGCGCAGGGAGCAAGAATTAATCAAAGCAGCCGAAGCAGAGGCTTATATGTTCCTACGGCAGCCAGTGGACATACGGAAAAAAGTTCAGAATCAAATTCCAATCTCTGAATGGGTAGAGTTTTTGAGTAATGTATTAAACACTGAAAACCTGAACTTCACGGACAGTCTTGAGTTTGACTCTCTACTTGCTGATTATGACGAAGATATAATTTGCGAACCAATTTCAGATGCAGAAATTCAATATGCCGTACAAGGTTTAAAAAATAATAAATCTCCTGGCCCAGACTTAATTACTAATGAAAATATAAAAGTCCTATTGCCACTTATGATGCCACTGTTCAATAAATTTTTAAATAAATGTTTAACACTTGGGAAAATTCCTACGCAATGGAAACAATCAAATTTGAAACTTCTTTACAAAAATAAAGGGGATATAACGGATTTAAATTCATACCGGGGAATCTGCCTCAGTAATACCTTGTGTAAATTATTAGACAAAATTATTGCAAGAAGACTTTTAGAAAAGTTCAATGATTTTATACCAGAGGAGCAGTTCGGATTTATGCCGAAAAAGTCCACAATAGATGCAATTAAACTTTTTCAAGAAAAAATTTATAAAAATATAGGTCAAAAAGGATATAAGAAATATGCATTGTTTATAGATTTAAAAAAGGCCTTCGACTCCACTTCGAGAAAAATTTTTATTAAAAAAGTTGCAGAAAAAAGTAAATTCTCAAAAAGTGAACTCCTTTTGCTTTCGGAACTTCTTGCGATAGATTCAATTCGAGTCGACGACGGTGTGTCTTTATCAGAATTCTTCCCACAATCAAATGGTTTTAAACAAGGTATGAATTCTAGCCCAACCTGTTTTAATATTTATATACATGATGTAATTAAAATTTTTGAAAATGTAGAAGGGGTAGAATTCCTATTTTATGC